TGATGGTAGCGGATAACATTCTTGTCCATATTGCAGAAGAAGAAGCAGGAATCAAGCGAGTGGTACTAATAGAAAGACCACTCTTTGATGTATAAGTGCTCACATTACCGTTCACCCCTCTTCAGGTAATGGACAAGTATTTTGAGTTCGAAAAAGTGACAGAACTTTCCCGCCAACCTAATATATCTACCGGAGCGGTTGTTGGCTCGGTGAAAAGGGAAACTCGTCCAAAAATGCCCAAGTCCCCTGCAGGTTTTTGTCTATTTATTTTCGCTTTTTTTCGTCATTTTCCCCTCTATTAGCACCCCTACTAGTTGTTCCAAGCAAGTGCTGTATTATCGTGCCTTACGCCTTCAAAACAGATGTCACCTCCATTCAGCTCGAAAATGCTTACTACGTGTGTTAGGCAGTACTGAAAAAGTACGAATGCATTCGTAGCCATTAGGAACTGTCACAAACTCCTCACAGGCAAGTAGGCCAGCAGCGATGCTAGAAATTTCTGTGGCCGGGTACGTGAAAAAAGAAAGAAGCAAATGGCAAGAAGAGTCGCTCCCACGACCTGCTGCTCATGATCCATCTCCGCACTGGTCGAAATTCAATAAGTGTTTCGCAGTTTTCGTTAGGAGGTTTTAATCCAGCATTTCAAGACGCGTATGTCGATGTACACCGTATTGCAAAGGCCGGGTCGAACAATTGAGGTCTCCCGATGGGAGGATTTCTGGGGGTTTTAAAATCGCGTCACATTCGGCTTGCGATTGGGAACCAGCAATGTTTCAAAAAGCATTGATAGAAGAGCAAAATAATTAGGCGATTGAATAACGAAAAGCGATTGAAGTTGTCTTGGATGCACACATGTGTTTCCATGAAAGCGAGTGTGAAAAAAAAATAAAAAAATAAAAAATAAAAAAAAACAAAGCCACCGTCCAAATCGGCAAAATAACAAAGGAAAGTTAAAATGCATTATTACTTACATTTCAGCATTAATATATTCAAGTCGCTTGTCAACATTCGTTCGAGCCTCAGCAATATCTTGTCGAATGAGGCAAGCACCGATAAGTTTGTACACCTTAGCATCTTCGTCCAAAAAATCGAATTCCTAAATAATCCAGATTGGGAAACATAATGTGTAAAAAACACCACCAACTTTAAACTATATGCGGGACATATCATGCATGAACTCACCGATTTGACTAGCGTGCTCTCGGTCAACTGACTTTCCAGAGTGGGTTGCGATTACTTGATGTATTTTTCACGATCTGAGTTGCTCAATATTCAAGGTGAAAGGAAAGATTGCTTTAAATCGAAAACTGGAAACAAACCAGCTTCTATTTCCTTATATTTCTGTAAAGCTTCCTCGAATTGCGCTTTTAACTGCTCTGCTGACATTTTTGTACCTGAAAAACAAGAGAAATACAAAACAAAGTAAGCGGAAATCCAAAACAACCGTCCTGGGCGAAACAAGGACTTTTTTCGTGCAAATAAATAAACATGTTAGCATTTGTTCTCCTTGTTTTGTCTGTACTGCAGACTGTCACACACTTCAGCCACTTAAAATAACTCCGGAATCTGCGATCAGCTTTGGGAAAAGCCTCTGTTTTGATTCCTATCTTCGAACGGATATAAATACATAGTAAGGTGTGAAATACGCATAGAAGGCCTTTGTACAGGTACTTAGCCTGGCGCTGCCGTATTTGGAGGGGGGGGGAGGGGAGTGTATCAGGCCGGCACGCTGCTCCTCTGCACTCTCTCGCCGAGAGGTGCAGAGGAGCAGCGTGCCGCTTAAAGAACCCATGAAGGGTTTCCAGCATAATCCGAGCCGTAAATTGATCATTCCTGAAGGTGCTAACGTATTTGGGGGGGGACCACGCGGCAAGCGCCGGCTGAGTCGAGACTCATACCGCTCTATTTGCTCCCTCCTCGATAGAAGTAATTTCGTGTTTAGGACATGAATATAACTTCGCCCTAGCTATATTCAAAAGCTAAAACAGTTAAGGCTGAAAAGTGCGAAGAAACAGTTGTAGGCTGGAAGATTTTGCCTAAAATAATACAAACGAATGTCTGTTTTGTTGAATTCTTGCACTGTAAAGATCAAAATAGTTGAGAGTTGTTTTCAGCTTCTGTGGTATTTCCCAGCAGAATCCCGGTAAATCTTGTTTGTTTCATTCTAATTTGGCTGCTAGATTCGCGCTCCAAGCACGCTATAGTTGAGAAAACTGTATGAGATTACCACTCGCGCTCGCCGCGGTGGTCCCCCCTCCCCCCCAAATACGTTAGCACCTTCCTGAATAGAAAGGTGAAGTGCACACTCTACTTCGCTGCGGACGGTTGGGCGTGTCAGCCAGTATGAGTGTGTCACCCTCTTTGAGCTGTTCTCTGCCTTCTTGTTGAAACGGGCATGCGACAAAGCAGTAGAAAACAAGTACACATGAAAAGTATGCATACAGTTACTTGCCATTTGCTCGCTTGAACAACTAGTGGAGACGAGAGATAACTGGCACGCGCAAACGCAGCCGTACAAACACGCCCAACCGTCCGCAGTGAACTACACTATACCTAAGATGTCATCATCATCATCGATGATGATGATGATGATGATGATGATGAATACTCTGAGGAATTTGTGAAAAAGCGTGGCTTGTGCTGCTAAGCTTCTGAATGTATGTTCTGATAGAACACTACCAGAGTAGGTGGGGACTTTCAGGTCCTGCTGAGCATACAAGGCAACTGGAAGTATCATTTTGCACAAAGGAATGGATCCACCACTTTTCAGTGTTAACTGTCTCAGCTTGCCGGATTGCCCACATCCCCTCCCCTGTGACGGTTTTAGGTTCATGTTCTACCCCTGATATTACGAAGTTACTTCGAAATAACCCTTAGTGGAGCCTATCAAGAGCATGGGATACGGTCTCGGCGAGGAAGGAGTAGAAGAGCAGCGTTTCGCCTGGTCCCCTCCACCAAATGCTTCAGCATCCATAGTTCCAACGAACTGATATGATACAGTTTCGAAGATGGAAACCAACTAAATTTTACTGGAACCTTGCTCATAATAGTTCTGTTGCAATATATGAAGCGTGTTTTTTTTGCATTTTTTTGTTTCTCACCCTTGCCAGCGTACCGCACTCCAACAAAGATTAAGCCTACCAGGAAAGGTCAAGAAGTCAGTTCCCCGAGATGCATAGCCCTGTACGCGTCTCGTCTGAGCTCAGATCTATATTCAAACTTGATGAGCTATTCTCTGAGGAAGTTAGTACTCCTCCCACCACCTGTGAAGAGAACCCGTAAAGACAGTAACAGTATAGCAGTACGTCAGACAGTTAACAGAACCAGTGGAGACTGTGTGGTAATGTTATGTGAAAAGGCAATTGTAATACGTTCATAGACGAGTTGCCCTGCAAGGCCACTATAAGGAAACAACATCTGAAGTTTCATGCGGAAAGCTTGGACTGTTCCATGGTGTCTAAATTTGGCTTCACTTGCGTATGGAATAAGCACGGCTCTATATAACCAAGTTTTCGGAACTAAGAAAACTCAGCAGCAGGTTGTAAATTTTTTCTGAAAACATCAGCTCTCAACAATATATACTCGAAATCCCTGAGATCGTGTAGGCGTGGCTGCATTCTTCAACTTAACGTGGAGGTGTCTATGCTTCTGGTGGAATATTCCATCTTGACACAACGTTGTC